GTATGTAGGTGCCCAACTATGGGAGGGAGGCACCTAAATACCTTTGACAATCTGGGCCAAAGCGAAGACAAACTGCCCTGAAAGAATGTACAGTCTGAAACAATAATAAATTAAACGTCCTAGTATCCATGTGAATTAGGTCTTGTTATCTCTTTTTGTACATATGGGGAAACTGAGGCACGGAGCAGGTAAGTGATTTGCCGAATGGCCAAGTCTATTAGTAGCCAGGCTGGAAATAACACCTGTAGGCCCCCAATGCACTAAGGTGAGGGACCCATTAGAAATGCCTGAAACAGACACATTGATTTAGACAGAGATGGTTTGTAACGTGACGTACCTGATTCTCCTGTGAAGCTGGAGGCGCTGAGCTCCTGGGCGGCAATCCTGGAACAGACAGAGAGAGACAAGGGTAAAAGTTCCTCTTCCACAGTCACTCCCCCAGCTGTAGTTCATTGACTAATGGTGCATCCGAGCTGTGGGTGCACAGGGCACCACCATGCATGGCAAATGGAGAGGGGCTCATTTGAAATGCTGTGCTCTTTGTGAACTATACACAAGCTACCTGGGCCATGGGCGGTAGAAGCCTTTCTACATCGCTCCCTTTGTCACGGAGAACAAAGCCATTCTCCCGACACAGGAAAGTCACATTCTGAGCTCAGACTTGGTGCCCATGAGATTGACAGTGTGTCCGTGTAGCACATGGGATAACACTCGTAAACCCCAGGAGGAGGGATGGAGTGAGATCACTCCCTGCAGGAGAACGTTGGGGATGGGCAGTGTTTATTACCTAGCCTGGAAGGGCAGAGGGTCCAGATGAGACTCAGAGACACCGTCAACAGCATCAGGGCGCTCAGCACGGCCAGGGACACAATGGAAGGCAGGCAACTACTGGTGTGGGCTGTGGAGGTGGATAAAAGAAACACACTAAAGGCTTCCTTCAGCAGTCCTGCCTACACCCTTCCAAGAGGCAGTGTGGCCTAATGGATAGAGGACAGGGACTCGGGAAACCTGGGGTCTGCTCCCGGCTCTGCCATTGGCCTGCTGGGTGAGCGTGGGCACATCACAGCTACTCTCTGTGCCTCAGTTTCCCCATCTATAAAACGAGGCTAATGATACTGACCTCCTTTGTAAAGTGCATTGAGATCGACAGATGCACTAGATAAGAATTAGACATTTTCTGTGCTCCTGTTCCCCATTTTACTCTCTAAAGAGTGAAACTACAGGAGCCTTCAGCACCTTTCACCCTCTCTGTTGTTCCCTTTTCATCAGGCCAATGATTTTTCCTGTAATCAGAATCTTCTCTGCACCTTCTGCCATCTACAAAATCCTCCCTGTAGGTCTCTCCTCACCGCATCGTCTCTCCATCACTTTGCATATCTCATTGGAAAACATCTCTCTTCTCAAATGCCTCTCAATTCCCCTTTACTCCTGACATTTATTATTATTTAACTCTTGACAGTGCTTTATATAGACAGTCTGGGAGAAAGCTGCCCTACAGATCAGAGTTACATTGTCTTGCGGTCCCTGTAACGTCTCAATTCACCTTTCCCCAAATTCTCTGGAGAAATTCTAATTAAGACATAGAATATTCCAAATTTCTGTAATGGAAAATCACATAGAAGCAGCTCTCAGCATGGTCACATCCATATTTTACATCTGAGTTTCCATTACCCTCAAATATAATATCACTCACCTGCAGGATACCTGGTACTTTTCTTCACACTGCTG